TAGAATAAACTCGAATGTCGTTGGGCAGGACTCTGCGAGCAAAGCTCTGAGGACGAGCCGCGCGCAGAGCCACGGACGGCCAGCAGGACCAAGGCGGCGGCCCAGAAGAAGAACAGCACGGCCACCAGGAGGAAGGGGAAGAAGAAGAAGGGGGAGGAGCCAGCGGCAGGTACAGGCCCCGCCCCCTGAGCAGGGCAGAGCTGCTGCTGCTCCCTGAATTCAGGAAGCTGGAGGGGGGATGGAAGATGAGGGAAGTCAGGGGCTTTCATCCTGTCTTCACTCCTTCTCTCCTCCCTCCCTCTATCTTCCCTTTCCTCTATCCCCACTCCCTCCATCTTCCCTCCCTCCATCTATCTTCTCCTCCCTCCCTCCCGCTATCGCCCCTCTCTTCCTCCCCCCCACTCCCCCTCAGACTGAACTGGCAGGCTGTTTTTCACTCAGTTCTTAAAACTCTTCTTTCTGTGTTGCCCTCAGATTTATCAGGGAGCAGCTTGGAGGAGGAAGCTGTGACTAAAACCTTCAGACATCCACAAGTCACCAAAATGCTGACGGTGCTGCTGGAGCGCTGCGACGTGGGCGGCGCCGGCTCTGCGGGGGGTCCGAAGAGCGCCAGAGCAGGTACCCCCCCCCCCCCCCCCCCCCCGCCGCCTCCTCCCCCCTCCCCCCTCCCAGTGAGGCCCGACCCTCACAGCTGTGTGTCCCGCTCAGGTCAAACAAAGACGGCCGACAAAGCCACAAAAGAGAACTCGGAGGGCTCGGAGGAGTCATCGGGGGAGGAGTGAACGGCCTCTGAGCCCCTCCGGCAGGCCGCTTCCACTCTGCGCCATCGATGTGTTTTCCACTTTTATTTTGATTTGAATCGTTCTTCAGGTTCGGGACCAACTTTACAGGCTCCTGAGCGCTTTTAGCACGGCTGCCGTCGCAGTTTACGCCGGCCGCTTCTGGTTTTAGGGGTTTTAACAGGGTCGCTTCAGGCCGGTGAGCTCCTGCTCTCCTGCCCGTGTGTCGATATAAACTGTCCCAATGAATTTCCAATAAGTCAGTCTCAGTGTCAGCCGGACCTTCAGGCCTCTTCTGCTGTTTCAGGGCTTAAAGCCAAAGTGGACACATTTGTTACTCGTCTGTCCAGAGTTCAGACAGCAGGCAGTCAGGCTTCCACCTCCTGCTGCTGCCTGAAACATCCAACCATGTATCCGATTTCCGGCCTTCTGTAAACGTTCGCATCTGGAACAGCCTGATTCCAGCTGGTATGAGGAGGCTTGCTCTGCAGGGAGGGCACAAAAGGAACAGAGGCCTTTCGGCACGCTTTTTCCAGAAAATTCATATTAAAACCTGAAATGAACGTAATGGGAATTTTCTCTTTAGAATAAAATCTTTTCAATGTCGTGTACTTGGAGTTGAGAAGTAGCTGTGTTCCAGTCGTTGCCAGCGGGTGGAGAGCTGAGGGGATATCTGGGGAACACAGAGCTCGGCTCTGCTCGAGACCAAAAACCGAACCAGAGGAGACAAAAACACAAGAAACAAAAAGCTAAAGAAGCGTGACCGAGGGAACGGGGAGCCGGGGGTGGGGGGGCGGCAATAGAATAACAGGATCTGACAAAGGGTGAGCTGAGATCCAGAGGAGTGTGGATGGGGGAAGCCTGGAAAAGCCCTAATGGGTGAAGAGCAGAACCGGGAAACAAAAGGAAGGACGTGGGAAACAGGAGGGAGCAACAAGAGTAAAAAACCCACAAACCAGAAAAGGTAAGGATCGATGCAAAGGACAGAATAAAACAAACCACAGAGGAACTTCCAACTGGAAAACCAACCGAGAACAAAGTCCACAAAACCCATCTTTAGGGAACCTTTCAGAGGGATCAAGCAAAGCGAAAAAGTGGCCAGAAAAAGCAGCAAAATCAAGCAAAACAAAGACAAACTTTAATTCAAATTAAAACACTACATTCAGTCTAAGTCTTTCCAACACCACCAAAATGACTCCAGTTCATTTAGAGCCGACTAAAAGAAGATTCATCTCTCAGGGAACCAGCTCTGAAACCTCTCCCTGATCCAGATCCAGTCCCCATCCTGAGCCAGAACCAGGACAAAACCTCCATGTTATTCATGCACCAAATGTGTTTCAACACACGTACATTTTTGTAGCTTCGTTTTCTTTTTCTTTTTTTTTAATCTCACGCTTTCGGTTCAGTTTGTAACATTTTCGTGTTGTTAATAAAGATTTAAAAAGTTATCCTCGGAGTGGCCAATCACAATGAGGCGGTTTCTCCCGCTGCATTCAGGGATACTGTGAATTTCCACAGTAGTATCTTGGGTCGCTTAAGAAAGTGGAGAAAACGCCTGGAAATACATTTATTATACAATCAGAAAATTAGCAAAGTAAAGAAAGTTGTGATTGTATCCATTTCTTATGCGGAGGATTTAGAGGGAGAAAATCCCAATCTGTTCCGATGAAATGTCCCGCCATCCGCGGGTCTGTGAACGCAGCATGAGTGAACACCACAGGCGAGCAGCGGAACCCGGAGTTCAGGGAACATCCTCATAAAAAACTCCAGCTCTGCGGCTCTTTTGTCGGTCGGTTCCGACGGGACGTCGGGAAAAGGTCGCCTCCTGTCCGCCTGACGGCTCCAGGCTGAGGGGGACTCGCTGCGGTCCGGGCCGGCTCGCTGCCTGCTAGCTAGCTAGCTAGCATGCCGCTTCCTCGTCCGTTGGCGTCTATCTGAGCCCGTCATGACCGAGTTAAGATGTCGGAAATCGGAAAGTTTCGAAGGAGACGCCGACGAGGAGGAACGACGGAGCGAGTCGGAGCCGCACGACAAACGTAAGCAAACAGCTTAGCTGTTAGCAATCCGAACATCTGTTTGAATCCAGGTGTGAGGCGGGGATGACGTGTGACTGT